GATTACTTCATCGTCGTCGTCTTCGTCCGCTTATCCGGGTCCGGGTCGCGGGGGCAGCATCCCAACTAGGGAGCTCCAGACCGTCCTCTCCCCAGCCTTCTCCACCAGCTCCTCCGGCAGGACCCCAAGGCGTTCCCGGACCAGATTGGAGATGTAACCTCTCCAACGTGTCCTGGGTCGACCCGGGGGCCTCCTGCCGGCAGGACATTCCCGAAACACCTCCCCAGGGAGGCGTCCAGGAGGCATCCTGACCAGATGCCCAAACCACCTCAACTGGCTCCTTTCGATCCAGAGGAGCAGCGGTTCTACTCCGAGTCCCTCCCGAATGTCCGAGCTCCTCACCCTATCTCTAAGGCTGAGCCCGGCCACCCTACGGAGGAAACTCATTTCGGACACACCCTTAGTTCATCTTTAGATTTTACTGACAGAATCATAACTTCTAAATGTTTTTCAATGATTAAAGTTTCTTTAGGATAAATCTGCACCAGTAGCTGAGGAGTAATCTGTATCGGCCCTCATAACCTGAATCTCTAGGATGTGTGTAACGCTCATTTGTTGAATATCTGGTCTCCTCCATGTTTAGATGAATCTGAGCATTTCCTGTAAGTATTGAATCCTGAGCAGCACTTACTGGAGTAAAACCGAACATAAACGGTGTGATTCTGAAACAGAAACATGAAATCATCCTGGTGAACTTTAGTACCCGAGAACTGTTAACTGGCTGAACTTCCCACGAGTTGAACCAGATCTGATTGGTTGTTGGTGAAGGCAGCATGTTCCGTGTGGCTCCGGCACGCCGCCAGCTGCTGTTGGAACATGTGAGTGGGCGTGCAGCAGCTCCGCGTCGGTTTCTGGGATTTTTCTCTGACTTTTACTAGATCTTCTAACAAGAGCAGGTTCTGCTTGGCTGCAAGGACAGGATCCTACCTGCCGCCCTGAGTGGATCCGTGTCTCTGAGGGGGAGGGACGGGAAAACCAAAGTACCTGATTGCCGGAGTTTTTCCCCGCATGAGACGACATCTAATGTGTGTGTGTGTGTGTGTGTATGTGCATGCGCGCATGTGTGTGTGTATGCGCGCATGTGTGTGTGTGCATGCGCGCATGTGTGTGTGTATGCGCGCATGTGTGTGTGTGTGTGTGTGTGTGTGTGTGCATGTGTGTGTGCGTGTGTGTGCATGCATGTGTGTGTGTGTGCATGCATGTGTGTGTGCGTGTGTTCGTGTGTGTATGCGCGCATGTGCGTGTGTGTGTGCATGTGTGTGTGTGTATGCGCATGTATGTGTGTGTGTGTGTGCGTGTGTGTATGCGTGTGCGTGTGTGTGTGAGTGTGTGCGAGCATGTGTGTGCGTGTGCATGCATGTGCGTGTGTGTGTGTGTGTGTATGTGGTTCTTAACTTGCATGTTTATTTGGAACCAGGTTGTTGGTTGGACTATTTTGATCTGATCTCTTATTTACGTTTTTCTGGTTGGTTTGTTGATTTGTAAAACGAGGAAAGTGTTTAAATACAAAGTCAGACAGATGATGGTTTTCAAACTGGTTTCACACAGAGGAGAGACCTTAAGTCATCTACTGGTTTCACTTATTAATAACAAGTCAAAACACAGCAGAGGTTTAGTGGTGTGGCAACACACACACACACACACACACACACACACACACACACACACACACACACACACACACACTTTGATCATATTCCAGGAAGATTCTGTCATTTCTCAGAAAGTCATGTTTCCGTTGCCAACGCTAACGCGCTCCTATCTCAGCTCAGATCGAGACAAACAGCCAATTAATAAAACCACCTAATGTCTGAGGGATGCCCCCCCCCACCACCACCACACACACACACACCACCACACACACACACACACACACACACACCTGTGTCTAAATCCTTTCAGCTCACTGGACGAAGACGTCAGCCTCGTCTTGTTTCACGGGGATTTTCCCGGCTTTAAAGAAGGATAATGTGGGAATATTAACGCTGACAGAAACGGATAACAAAGATGTTTATCATTGTTCTTAATTCACCTGCGATGACTAACACGAGTTATTACCCGTTAGAGCCAAAGTCACATAAGAAACTCCCCTCACAGGCATGCTGCTCTTTGTTTTACATTAACCCCCCCCCCCGATGCCTGAGGAGGGGGGGTAAACCTCCTGTGGTGCCATGTGGGTCTCTACTGCCTCCATAAACACATGTGGATAAAAATTATCCAGCTGTTTGCTTCAACAAACCGTTTGAAAATGTCTTTTTTTGTGATGTCATTAATACCCCCCACTGGCTCTACTGCGAGCCCCTCCTGAATATCAGAGAACATCACCTCATAGATGTCAATCAGGCGATAGGTGGGCGGGGCTAGCAACTTATTCTTTTACGGGACAGAGCCCTGAACAACTCATTCTGGAAGGTACTGAAACTGTCAAGAATAAAGCTGCTGAGGTTTTTATGTTCGAGGATTTTAGAGCAATAAGATTGGTTTTAAATCGACCGTAGAG